AGTGGGTGCCGTCTGGAACCGAAGGAAAACATGAAATAGTAGAAAGAGGCGTCGGGAGGCCTGAATTCAAGACCGAGCTTAGCTACCTATTAGCCGCATGACCTTGCCCAGACCGCTTAACCTCGCTGACCTCGTCTCCACAGTAAAGTTACAATAATAAGAATAATACTTGCCGGACGTACTTCACAGGGCTCCGTAGCAACGACAAGGAAGGCCAGGTAGGACGATGAGGAAGGGCAGCAGTGCAATCTCAGCCCTACGCTCCCTGGCTGTGTGACTCGGGTGAGTTTTGGCCCCTCTAAGCTTTGGGCTTCTCATCTGAAACGGAGGGGTGCGAAGACCTGCCTCAGCTGGTAGCTGTAAGGACAAATGCAATAGTCCAGGTAAATCATAGCGTGGTGCCTTTTGCATGGACTGTGCCCAGTACTGAGTGATTCTTAACATTAGCATGATTGTGTTTTCAAATGTGCAGATTGTTCAATGCATAAAAATGACATATATTCAGCATGATATGATGTCACTGAATAACAGGATAAGCACTAAAAGAAAAATGTAAGGAAAAGAGAATGGAGGTGGTTAGGCCCACAGGCCACCTTTGTAATGGAGAGACCTTCTAGATTAGGACGTATCAGACTCACGATCTCACAAAACTGACTCGTGTTGTTGGCTTAGTACAAAATGGTCATATAGATCTTTTTCAAGGATGGGAAATGCTAGCAGTGGTTTTGTTTCAGGTTGGAATGAGGTTATCTGCCATCTCCGAGCCGCTGAGAGCCAGAGTGACTGGGATGTCAGCGAAGTGATTTTCACACACGATACCTGACCGTTTAGTCAGGGGCACTGACCTCTTTCCCTTCGAGCACAGGAGGCGAACACAAGGCCCGCGGGCTGCATCCGGCCCTCCACCTCATTTTATCTGGCCCAGCACCTTGTTTCCACCTGGCGGCAGGCAGCACCGAGCTCTCCCTTAACTATTAAGGGTAGTTACATTTATTACATTCAGCCCTTTGAAGTCAACCACGAGGCTGATGTGGCCCCCTGTGAAAATGCGTTCGACACCCCTGTCTTAGATCGTCAAATAAAAAGTGGTAACAGCCAACACAGCAGTAGCTGTCCAGTGTGAATGAATCAAAATTGTACCTATATTTTTTGTCAGATTGGCAAAAAATATTTTTAGTGTGCCACTGAATTTTAGTAATTAGTTTACGTGCCATGAGATGAAAAAGGTCGAAAATCGCTGTGTAAATCTGTAAAGACACTCAGCGAGCCTCCAGGGAACCTCCTTAGAAGTGGGGAGACTCAACCCAGGAAGACCAGAAATAATGCAAAAGAGCCTCAAAAATGCATTCCCTTGTTCAGAAAATATTTTGTCCCTACTCCATGTCAAGCATCTTGGTAGGCACCAAAGATTTAAGGACAAAGAGACGGTCCCTTTTAGCCCCAAGTTTACCATCCAGTGAGGGATAGAGCAAGTAAATCACAACAACTCAGTGAGGTGGTAACAGGTAAATTTGGGGTACAAGAGAGCCTAGAGGTGGGACTCCCAATGCAGGGGTCAGAGAAGGTTCCCCAGAGGGAGCAACACCTGAGCAAGGTCTACAATTATGCAAGGAGTTAATCCGACACAGAGAGTCCCTAGGCGGCAACCCAGAAGCTGAACTGCAAGTCATTTCATCCGATCCTGCTGAGGAAGGACACAGGACCTTTGGAAAGCGGGAGTCTTCCTCTGTGATGTCAACATTACAGTAATTGTCCTCTTAAAACTTGCGTTTGAACAAAAAGCACAGGGTGCCCTCACCGTCCCAGAAAATCCTGTTGGGAATTTCATTACAGTTTTAAATCAACTTGTTTCTTATTAATCCCAACAGCATCTACTGGCATTCACATTTGAAAGATATTTACTATACTTCTAAATGAACTTGTGTATTTTAATCCCAACAGTATCTACCGACATTTTCACTTGAGAAATATTATCTCATCTCTGTGCAAGACTTACTAGTTTTTCATTGCAAAACAGTCTTTGTTCATGCATATATTGATGAAATTGTTGCAGTAACTGCCAGCGCATCGCCCCCACACCCCCAGAGCTCCATGATGCACAGTCGGTTAGCAGTGGAGCAAGGGTGCTGGCACAGTCTGGGCCTGGAGAGGTAGCTGACACTAGGCTTCATTGTCCGAATGCAGGTGGAAGGGACGGGGAGTTCCTGGAGAGCTTGAAGCAGTGATGGCAATGGATCACCAGGTCAACGATGTGCCAAGTGTGGGGGCGGGGACTGTACTGAAATAATAGTTGATGGAGAGTAAGGGGCAGAATTGAAAGACATTAAAAGGGAGAATCGATTAGACTTAGGGACCCTGGATATAGGAACTGGGAGAGAAATGCCAGGTGACTCCCAGCTTTCTGGCTTGGGCAATTGGATGGGTGGTAGCGGTGCCAGCACAGAGATAACAAAGCAGAGAAGAGGGTTCAAGTAGATTTTTACTTTGGACATGGCGACTCTGAAGTTCCTGTGGGACAGCTAAGTGGAGATGTGTAAGGTAGAAGGACCTAGGCTAGAGATGCAGGTTTGGGAAGCATCGCTATGTGGATTGCAAAGTTCTGGGTATGGGTAATAGCACAAGGAGTATGTAGTGCAGGAAAAGAAGAGGTCCAAAAACAAAGACCAGGAACCCCAACATCTGAGAGGCAGGTAGAAGAGAACAGTCCCCCTGAAAAGGAAATGAAGGATGAAGAGAGAGAGAGAGAGAGAACAAGCACATGGGAGAAAAGGGGAGAGAAGGCAGGGAGCCGTGAAAACATGTCAGTGCCACAGAGCAGTCAAGCATAAGGACCAAACAGGGTGGGTACCCATGATGGCAAAGAAAAGAATAACAAAAACACCGTTTCTCACTTATATGGCTCATTATGCTTCCAAGCACTTTCACAGTTTTATTTCACTGTGTTCACACTACAGCCTATGTAGCATTCTTACAGATGCAAAAACTGCAGGAAGTGAGAAGAGATATTCCATAGCCATCTAGCAAGTTAGGAGTCCAGCTCCTGGGATTAGAGACCAGTCCAGAATCTTGACCATGCTCCTTGTTCTCACCCACTCCGAGTTAGCTTTTTCACAAGCCTATAAGGAACTCAGAATGGGGTCTGTTTCAAAGTAACTACCCATTATTAGCATAGAAATTAAAAGCCTTGCCTAACACACTTGGTTTTGCGTTGCCTAGAAGTCAGATGCCAGCACCCTGGGATCATCTGAATTTAAAAGGGCAATACCCAAATCCTCTAGGTGAGGGCTTGCATCTAATTCTGTATGTAACAGGGACATTGAAGGTTTTCAGGTAGAGAGTGATGTACATTTGAGTATGCTTTGGAAAGATTAATCAATATTGTTGAACTTGTATCTGACAGTGCCTAGGTCTGGTCACTGGATAGTCATACCACCTGAAACAAAATAATGAAAACACACTGTGAAGACCTGTCTGGGTTTTGGGGGGACTTTTGTTTTGGTGTGGGTTCTACAACAGAAACACCTCTCTTCAGCCTGCCCCCCATTGCAATGAGTAGCCTGTCTTCACCAGAGACAATCACTCCAATTTGGAGCAAGAGCTCACTGCATATTTGATGAGGTCAACACCTACCTTCAGATCTCATTTACCCCACCCCAACCCCTTCTAGAGGCAGGCCTGGCTCTCTACACAGGAGTCTGTTCCTTTCTCATTCATTCCTTAGTCATACCAATGAGAAAAGGGGGGCTGCCCCCGCTGGCCTGTCAGATCTGGACAGGGTCCCAACTTATTCATGTGGGGCCCGGCCTGGACCTGCTTCTCTGCCTCCTTCTCCATTGGGAGCAATTTACAACACACTTATCTCTGGGAATTCACTGCTCCGTTGGGCATGGGTTTGATTATCTCTCTCTAAACCTGTCTATCATTCACAGCACAGAAGGAACACTAAACAAAGACCTTCACATCAATTACTAACATTTTATTCTCTTTACAGCTCAGATGATATCACCGCAATGTTATCACTTGGAAGCTTGGGCCAGTCCCAGAAACAGTCATCACTATGCAATGCTGATTTTCTGAGGGTAGCTCACAGCCGTGTTTCCAGCTGGTGGCCTGGTTCTGGCCTTTTCTCCTGACCCATAAAACTGAGCTTCAGCCTGGGTACATGGCCATACAAGCCACTCGGCTGTCAGGAACAGCTGGGAGCTGTCTGGATTCTGGACCACAGGCCAGGGAGGGATGGTCTGTTTCCCTCCACTCTCTAAGCGCACCACGTCTGTGGCCCCTTCTCAGGGGTGAAGATGGCTGTTGCGCAGGAAGACTGAGAGCAGGCCAGACAGGGGAATTAGGATCATGAATGCCTACTTTTATCACCTTATACTCCATTGTGTTGCTAAAAATGGAAACATTCATTAAATATTAGATATGAACACTCATTCTTAGATTTAAAAAGGAGAATTGTTAGCTATATCTCTGTCCTTCAGAACAATCCTGTGCAAGCAAATGATGTCAATTCTTTAAGCTGTCAAATATAGTAATGAGAATTTTGAATTTAATAGGAGATTTCTGCAATCATTTTAAGCCTCTGCTTTGTTCCATAGGTCTAACTAAAGTGTTATTGTGATTTTTAAAAAATGTAAGCATGAGGCACTTTTCAGCTTTTGCATCACAGAGACTTGTCATTTGTCTAAGTGAGGTGTCCGTGGGACAAGGTGACATTCAGATCCTGGCCCCAGATCTACAGACTGTGTGATCCTGAGCCAGTCACTCAACCACTGCAGGTGGCATGGCAATAATGACAGTTTCTCCCTCAGAGTGTTGCCGAGGTGCTTGAATGTGTCATTAAAATAAAGCCCCCAGGGGAGAGCCTGGGCATAGCAAGTGTAAGTGATGGCTGTGCCCATCTGCCAGGTAGCAGCAGTGCGGGGCTGCCCAGGCACTGCCCGGATGGCTCCCCTCGAAGGCACTATTAACAAGCTCCATGCTGTCTTTCCTCACCACAGGTCAGTGCAGCTGAACGGCCAGCCCTTGGTGATGGTGGACGATGGGACCCTCCCCGAATTGAAGCCCCGCCCCCTGCGGGCCGGCCGGACATTGGTCATCCCTCCAGTCACCATGGGCTTTTATGTGGTCAAGAACGTCAACGCTTTGGCCTGCCGCTACCGATAAACCACCCTCACGTCACACAGTGCCCACAGGTCTGCTGGACCGCTTTCCACTCTTCTGCCCCAATAGTACTCTCGTTTTTCCAGACATCTTAGCAACAAACCAGTCTCTGCTGCCCCGTCCTGCTGGAATCAACATAGACTTGCTCTGCCCAGGTAGCCTGAGCATAGCCAATGGAGGTCACATCCACCCTTAAGGGAACTGTGGACACCGCCTGCACCTATAGAAGGATGAAGGTCTGTGTGTACAGCTGTATGTATCCTTGTACGTGTACCATGAAACCAAGCTGAAGCACGCTCCCTGGACCAATGACACTGCTCCCGGTGACTCTGGTCTCACAGCCAGGGCACTGCAGACTAGTCCGTGCTGCTCCCCTCAGTGACAATGAGCAAGGAAAGAACCTGGTGGACATTTGAGAGGCCCGTCCTCTTCCAGCTCCTTTCCCTTGTCTGTTCCCTGCTGTTGCCCTGGGTTTCCTGTCAGCTCCCTTCCCAGAGGGGAGCGAGTGGGTGAGTCAGTGCTGGCCTGCTGGGTGAGCTGTTTGTGTAATTTCCCGGCTGATGTATGAGCGTGTGCATCTGGGCTTCTGACAGCAGCATCAATCACTGGCTATTCCTCCGGGAAGCGGGTGCTTCAAAAGTAAAATTGTAATCATACCCCAGGTTTTATAAGAAGGTTCTATTCCTCTGTGAGTCCGGATCCCCCCAGGGCTGGAATGGGAGTCAGGTGACAATGTGCATTGAGTGGAGGGCCGTGCATTAGGCACCACGAAGGGCAATCGCCCTCCGCCATGTGGCTGTGAGGGAGGGAGTTGTCGTACAAAGAGCAGGCACACCAAACCACACCCACACACAACAGCAACAACCACAACTGAACAAAGCAAATAATCAGACCTGCCTTGAACTTGAAAGAATATTTATTAAGGGCAAGTCCTTGATGATTTGGTTGACCAAAACCATTTTTTAAAAGAAGAGGTATAAATCAAAGGTCCTCCCTGTTCAGACACAGCTGGCTGTAATCTTTCTGCCTCTTCACAATGCAGGTACTAGGTCATCTTGGATGGCCAGGTCCGCCTTGGCCTGGACCAGCTTATTTGAGTGGTGAACAAAGCTTTCAGTGAACCGCTCTGGGAAGGCTGCGTCTGGAGACAGGACTGGTGGGGAAGCTGCCAGTGGGCTGGGTGGGGGGGGGATGGGGGCAAGTGGAGGGAGTTGAAGTTCATCGTGAGGACCTTCTGGGTGGGCTATTGGGTCTTTGCAAACAATCTGCCCTTGAATGAGTTCCTTTTCTGTGGATGTGACTTTCTTTCTCGGGACAAATGACGCGAATGATGCTTTTTTAAAGGAGGAGACAGTTGACAGTGTCACAGGGTTCCACCTGAAGGGGCGACACAACTTCCATAGTGAGAGAAGGACAGGAGTGGGGGGAGGGGCAGGGTTGCCGAGGCCAGCCTCCAGGGAGACGGCAGAAGGAGCCTGAGGAGTTGAGTGAGGACTGGGGCCAAGTCTGCGAAGTGAGGCGAGGTGAGAGGTGGGAGGAAGAGGAAACAGGAGAGAAGGTAGAGGGTTCTCAGCTTGGAGAGCTGGGAGTTGGGGCGAGGGAAGCTGACAGCTCAGTTTACGTTTAAGGAAGAGAGTGGACACGGTTTTGACAGGCTTAGTATTAGTACAGAAGGAAGAGCACACTGGAGATGCAGCAAGAAAGGGGAAACAGGGGACTGGCTGGCCCCCCGTTAGAGGGATGCTCAGCCTGGATGCTGGGAAAGAGAGGAAGTATCGGACCCTGACCCCTGACCAGTGGCCTCAGGGCTCCTCAGTGGCTCCTCCTCTTCTCCAGAGCAGGCACCTCCCACTGAGGCTCAGCCCTGAAAGGGGTGGAGAGAGAAAGGACGGGAAAGAAGTGACAGAGGACAAGCCCAAGTGGAAAAGACAAATGAGAAACCAAGTGGTGGTTTCCCCAAACTTTAAAAATTTTGTGCACATGTCAAAATCTCTTCTACATACTGATGCAGGCACTGCTGCAGGGCCCCTGATAATAACCAGAGCAACCCGAGGTCCCCGCAGGCCTGGCCCTCAGCTACTCTGCTTCACATACTCGGTAGCCCCTGTTTCTCCTGTAAGGCATGCAGAGGGTCCAGAGCTTTTCCCGGGTCGCCCGGGCGATGGGTCGCAGAGCTCAGGATAATCAAGAGCCTATTCATTTAACCGCCACGCGCAGTGACTGCCCAACTCACACTCACCCCTTCACCTCTTCACAGGTCCTGCTAACTCAGTACAGCACGGCCTGAAAGCGCCCCTCAGACACAGGTTCTGTGAGTGCGATTCTTCACCAGGCCCCCACATATGCAGAACATGGGCAGTTCCTGCTTCTTCTGTCTTTGTACTAAATGCTGCTCCTAAGAGGTCTGTTTTATTTTTTAGTTAATAAAAAGGGAAAAGAGGATTGCTGAGATTTATCTATGCAGGCCTGCAACTCTAACTTTGCAACTGTCTTGTGGAAGAAGTATTTGCATTGTTCAAAGGAAACCAAGAAACTCAGTATAAAAATCACATCCCATAGAGATGTTAGTACAGAGCATCTATCCTGGATTTCTCATTTTGGGTGGGGGTAATGACTACATCAGTGCGGATGGCTCCTTATGATGGAGTCCCCTATCTCACTTCCCGCAAAAGATACCCTGTGGCAAAATTCAGCATCACCATCCACTTCATCAGGGAAGCAGCTTGGTGGGCTGGGCCCTGGGACAAAAGATCTCATCCACCAGCCTCCCAGACCAGATACTTCCTCCTAAAACATGACACGGCTGAGGTGATCTAAGACGTAGGAACCACTTTATTTTGAACCAGAGAATGGGCTTCTAAAGTGCTTATTTGAAAGCCTGATAATGTGTAATGAGAAGTCTGTGTCTTTTGTTGAGATGATTTTCTGCTCCTTCTGCCTCTAGGAATGATTTTCTTTCTCCTTTCTTATCGCAAAGGCTCAGAACAAATTCTCATTGTTATTTGGAGAGAGTGTCCCAATTCTTCCAGTGCCCTGAAAAAGCTGCAGCTGTGAGATATTAGCATTATCTGCAGATGGAGAAAAGCTTGAAAATACCAGAACTGAGCTACAGTGAGATGCAGGCCCGGGACTCCCAGAACCACAATTCCCAGAGGCCCACTTGCCCTCTGCAGCCCCAGCCTCTCCCAGTTGGATGGGTCCAGGTCCCACACCTATTACAGGGCACTGGTGTTTGGTGGAATCTGGCTGAGAAGCCTCACCAGCTCCCTGGGGCCTCCTGGGGTGAGGCAGCGAGGGGAGGCAGGTGCCCAGCAGGACTGGGAACCGCCGAGCTGCCAGCGGTCCAGGCCAGGCCCAGCCTCTGCGGGCGTGCTCCACCACGTGCACTCCAGGTCCCTGTGGTTGGGATGGATGCGGCTGCGGGATTCACCTTGGAAATCCACTGAGAGCAGTTTTATTTCTGAAAACAAAAGGGAAGTATTTAATCTCTGTAGAGGCAAAGGTGAACCAGGTGGATAAAATGTTGGAACAGGGAAGGACTTCAAAAATTTGAAATAAAAGACGTATCAATAGAGCAACCAAAAATAATAGAGAGATGGCGTGGAGAAGGCAAGGGAGGGATGGGCATAGACATTGACACAGCTTGGCTGCCTCGGCTTTCCCATCTCCCCAGCCTCAGCACCCCTGCCAGCTGCTCTGTCCTCCACCTGGAGCCCAGGGAAATCTGCTGTACCAAGAGGGAACTAAGTTTTCATTGTAGAAACAGTTCTTACAAGGCCCAAAGAACTGAAGCATTTCAATCACTGCCTCTCAGTTTCACTAACAAGAATACAAAAGCTTCTGTAACTGCCCCCCTATCTCAGTCCTGGGTAGTGAGTTTGTGTATTTGGGGAGGACCAGAGAAGCAATTTTTCCAAGGCCATCCAGATAAACAGAGTGGCAGGCCTGGGACTTGAACCCAGGTCTGCTGGATTCCAAAGCCTGCTCTCATTGCATTGTACTCTCTCCCCCGTTGGACTGGTTATGGCCAACTTACTCACTTCCCTGTGATGTCCACAGTTAGCTTTCTCAATGTCCTGTGTGTGTCTACAGAGAACCCTAGTAGTGTCTTCACCCAGGACAGTTGATCTCGGGTTTGGGGAAGCCACTGACAACTCCAGTGGGTGGTGAGTCTGGCTATGACCAGCCTTGGCTGTAGAGTTTGGAATCGGGGATGATCTTGGCCCACCAGTGATCCTTCCAGTCTGCCCCTCTCCCTCTGTGGTTTTCTGAAGAACAATTTAAGAGGCCACTCCCGCCATGAGCACCCACTGCAGGTGATGAGTCTTAATATTCTAAATCCTGGCGCTAAGTGGCCCAGCCAGTTAGCTGCCACGCATGCACTGCCTCCGCTAGCACTGCCTCCGCTAGCACTGCCTCTCCTCCTGCCACCACCCAGAGGTTTGGAAGTTTCTCTTTACCTTCACAGACTAATTTTAAAAGTCCATTAATCATTGCCACATGAGTAGTATTTGCAAACATCACTCTAAAATGAGAAAGCCGAAATATCAGAAGCCAGCAAATCAAATGCTTTGGCACCTACTTTCTTCCAAACACCAGAGCAGCCCCTGGGAACCCTGGGAGTATTTGGGAGGGACCGCCCAAGTTCCAATGACTGGCTCGTGAATAAATCCCACTGTCCCGTGCACCCAGCAGAAAAAAGGGGGCCCTTCCTTGCAGCCTACATCACTAATATTACTCTAATTATTATTCATGAAAGTTTTCTCTGAGTCTTTTTCAAGTTGTAAATGTTATGTAATAAATTATATTTTTAGGAGAAGCAAAAAGAAACCTTAGTTTTATTGATTGGAAGTTGGCAAAATGAGTGCAGAAACACCTCCCAGGGAATGCTGCTTCTCTGTGCAGGGGGTTTGACAGTTGTGAATGTTTTCTTCTGGAGAACAGATTATACCAAGGCTTGTATGTGCCCGATCATTGCAGACAGTTTGGTTCATGAGGTAGTTTATATGTTGAGGTGATGTTCTGTAAGTAATAAAATGTGAATGCTCTGACTTTCTGTTCTCAGGGTGCTCTGTGGGGAGAGGGAGGTGACCATTGTCCCTGCTGTCCCTCGACTTGAAGACTGACTGCTTGACGAACTAACACACGCACGGACCTTGATTTCATGGGGCACCGCCCTCTGCTCCCCTCTCCCCGCAAGCTTTGCCTCGAGTACTCTAAATGGAAATTAAATT